CTACAACACTTTGTGTTGGGGGTATTATAAGTTTGATTGGCCCAAAAATTATGTAACACCACGAAATATTGATTTCCCACGTAGGAAAGTATATATGGATCTTCCTATCTCGCCGAGCTGAGTCGATCTAGCTATGTATGTCCGTCCGTCCGTCCATGTTAATTTGTAATCACTAAAAAGGTCGCAATGTAGGTGGGGTTAATGTCAGAATAGAACCCTATTTCTTTTGGAGATGATCGCATAATATCTAGGGGTTGAAATGGACCAAAAACTGAAAAATTTCCTGATTTTGCAGTTGCTCTACAGGTCACAATTATAGACCAATCGAAGCGAATGTTAGCATGGGGCTAGAGCTTTGGGCTGGGCAGAAGCCTTCCAATTTTGATGGTCATCGGGTAACATTTAGTGGTTGAAATAGACCATAGCATTTGTGATAAATAAAAGTCAAATTATCCATTAAACCGCGAATATTTTTAATGCCGGCGAAATCACAAATAGACGAACAGGTCAATTCTGACCGTTACGTAGATGCCCATAGTAAAAATATCGGATATATATAGCGAAATATATACAATGTATATATACAAAGGAAGGGGATGCTAGCTAGAATGCTTATATCTCCAGAATGGCTGGAGCGATTTTGACAATTTTTTTAAAAATAGAAAGCCCTTTTGGCATAATGGTATAAAATCTAAAAAAAATCGCATAAAAAGATACCAATAATGATGTTAATATAGATTTTGTAGTATTTTGTGACATATTTTTATTTTTTCATATTTTTTATCGCATGCGATTTTTTCAATTTGACTTATAATATTGAAATGTATATTTTGTAATATTTTTGCACTTTACAACACAGGTTGGGGTTATTATTTATATACAGATTGCAATTATCGTTCGATCCTCACGAAATTTTTGACAAAGGTAGGGTTAGGCTCAGAAGGGCTTCAAAGATGATATTTAGGGGTTGAAATGGACCAGCAACTCAAAATGTTCCTGATTTTGCAGCCGTTATAAAGGTCACAAATAGAAACCAACGGACACGAAATCTTGCATGAAGTTAGAATTTAAGACAGCGGATAGAATGGACCACTACTTTTGTGTGAAAAAATACCAACATTACTTACATGTGATATCCGAAATACACAAAAGGCGAACTTCTAGCTTTTTTATGCTGATTTCGTTGACGAATATAGTCAAATAGCTTTTGAAGATGATCGCAAAATATTTAGGGGTTCAAATGAACCAAAAACAGAAAAAATCCTGATCACACAATTGAAGTCAATCGACACTCCTGAAAATATAGTTAAGCACAGTGAAGAATTCTAGCAATTTGGATGACCATTGGATTATATTTAGCCGTAAAATGGACCACAAAAACTAACAGCACGACGGAGTGCATAAATATCGGGAAAATGTCCCTGGTCAAAATGCTAAGGGAGACATCTGGGCAGTGCTCCGTGACATAATTTCAAAAGCGAAATCTTCCAAAATGAATTTGGACATGAGGGGGCTTCTTACATATTGTAGTGTTGTAGGGTATCACATGGTCGGCCCCGCACGACTATAGCCTTTGCTTACTTGTTTTAAAATAGTTTAGTGAAAAATCAAACAATTAGAATTTTTTTCCAATTGTAGGTATTTTTACCCTTATTCCGCCAAACAACTTTTATCAGATTTTTGACCCGTGAGTATCACTTTTAGAAAATTTTGCTTCGCGTTCGGGACTTACCCAGAGCAGAAAATCTTAAGCCCAGGCCAAAGGCCGGCTACTCACAAAAAGCATCAGTTTTAGCTGGGTTTTCGCGAAGCCGGTTTAATATACCCAGGAAAGAAAATCTCAAGCCTGGACATGTGCAAATTGTAGAAAAAATTAAATAAAGTTCAACATTTTATTTAAATACGATATATCAATAATTGGATTCATTTTTTTTTTTCTTTTTTTTAATTAATTATAAAAAATCACATTTCAATTCCTATTTCTTCTTCTGCAGATTCGACTCTTCGCTTTTGGATTAGCAGAGTTATACATCATATCGTCATATTTTGAAAATTAAAAGAATGTATCTTTGCATGTCATGCTGCACCACCGTAAAAATAGGTACTTCTGTACATATCCGTCAGAAAAAAAGCCTTGAAATGTCTCCACAACCCTTCAATTGTACACGTGTGATTTATTTAAATACGTTATAACAATAATTGGATTTTAAAATATTTGATTAATTATTAAACAACACATTTCAACAACAATTCAGCTAAAAATTTTACTCGCTCTTCCTCCGCTTTTGGATTGGAAGGGTTATACATCATACCGGCATATTTTAAAAATTAAATTAATGTATCTTTGCCGGTCATGCTGCACTACCATAAGAATAGGTACTTCTGTATATATCCATTAAAAAACATTTTCCGACGGCTATGTTCCGGCAGCGAAGACTTGAAATGCCTCCATAGCCCTTCAATTTTACACGTGTGATTTATTTAAATACGATATAAAAATTATTGGATTTTAAAATATTTGATTATTTATAAAAATCAAATTTCAATTCATTTTCTTCTTCTGCGTATTCAGCTAAAAATTTTACTCGCTCTTCCTACACTTTTGGATTACTAGTCTTATACATCATACCGGCATATTTTTAAAATTCAGAAAATATATTTTGCCGGCCATGCTGCACCACCGTAAAAATATGTACTTCCCTATATATCCGTTAAAAAACATTTTCCGACGCCTAGATTCCGGCATCAAATCCTTGAAATGCATCGGTAGCCCTTTAATTGTATTAGTGTGGTACTCTGTCTGAGGGTCCGCAGAATTTAGGGAATGATTCAACTTATGGTGGGTATAGCCCTCCTCCGACAGTGTGTCATTAGACTATAATATTTATACACAAATATTATTACTTGTATTTTACTACAATATAAAAAAACATACATACTAAAAACAACCACTTCCCTGCAGAAATTGTTCCAATACGTTCCAGATTGCACACCTGTAATATTGGCGGTTTTCATTATTGAATTTATGGGTAAATTACCGCACCATAAAAATATAAATGCCAATATTTGGTAGGTCGACTTTTCACTTATCTTAGTGAGTGTCCAGGCAATTAAGGATTTCAGAACATTTTCGGGGATTTGAACCCAAATCTCATGATTAAATAAATCATAAAGACCGGTTATACGCTCAATATTCATTTTCTTTTAGATAAAGAATTTAGGAACGCTTTAGCAAGTGGCATCGAGGGGATTGAAGAATGCGACGAATTATTTTTTTTGCCGAATGTTGTTTCCGACGAAAGCATGGAGGAGCCACTTGTGTTTAACAAGATCTTTGAGCCCCAATGCCAACTCGAAGGAGGCTGTGAACCACAAATCCCAGAGCCCGACGGCAAAACCTCCATTTGGTTGAATGCCTCGACAAAACTTTTAATCAACAAATATAAGGAGCTGCGGCCTTTAGTCGGAAAAGTGGCTTATTAAAAGAACAAATGTGGACTAAAATGTTTGAGAGCTTCAGGCGAATGGGTATGATTTTACGATTGCGCATGTGGAAAATAAATATTATAGTTTGGAGCGGCAATATAAGAACAGGCAGCATCACAATTCGAAAACTGACCGTGATCAAAAGATATGTCCCTGTTAAAGGTAGTCAAATTGTTCAAAAACAAGTTAAAAAGTATCAGTCGATTTTGCCGACAGATGCAAAAGCTCAGCCAATGTTTGTATATTTTAATTTATTTTGATTTGCTTAATAATTATATAAAAGTTGACCTTTACCACCCCATGGTGATTCCGAAAGAGTAGGACAATATTGTCCATTTATGTCACAAGCCTGATATAAATATTACAGCGTATCAGATATAGGTTATATCGACAGCTTCCTTTATTTTATATTAGACACATGATCATTTTTGGACGAACGCAGATATAATGGATCGAAGTATTCCACTTCATCTAATTCTGATAAATTTTCTGGGATGGGAAATTTTAACCCCTTTGTGGGGGCGGTACCAGAAAGAGTTAACCGACATTCTTACCTATCATGCGCACAAGCCTGTCAGACAGACATTTTTGTTGTATCAAATGTAGCATCTGTATCCATATGGCTGAGGGTAGAATCAAACTTTCCCATAATGGAAATTGAAAAAGTTCAGCTCGTCAAAGTTCGGTATTTTGGAAAATCTAGCTATAAGTGTACTAAAAGGTATCCGCTATATTGCTTAAATGGACAAAGCTAGAACAGATGAAACTAGAGTATTGAAATGTTGGTATTAGGCTCACTGTTAGTGTGTAGGGTTTGGATTTAAAGATACGTTTGAAAATATGAAGTGTAAAATATGAGTATAAAAATAACTAAATTTGATACAATATGGATAGGCGAATGGATAAAGGTGGACCTTTGAAATTTAGTATATAGTATTACATTAAACATGTTCGCAGAATAATTTTATTATTTTTTTATTACAGTGAACTTGACGAAATATTTCTGGAGAAGAAGTCAATTAATTCCGAGTATGTATTGGACAGCGAAGCAGAGGTTTCATTAAATGTGATTCATTAAATGTTTCTGAAACAGGTATAGTATATCATACTACAATATATCCTTTTTTGTGCTATTATGTATAGTGGCATGCTTTAATTTTTAGAAAATCTGGACATGATTCCATCAACTTTGAAAAAAAGGTAGACTAATTACCAAGATTATTTAAAGGAGTATGCTAGGGAAAGTGAAAAGCAATTACGAGAGCTGATAGAAAAAATGATGAAAAACGAGAAGAAAGGGCATTGAGAAAAGAGAAATTAGAGACAAAGAAAATTAAACTCCTGCAGTCTCTAATAAATTCCTTAAACAAATAAATTTTATGGTCCATGTTTTTAAAATAGTTAATGAATTTGGTTAATAAAATGATTTGTTATAGAATCAAGTGAAATCTTCAATAATAAATGCATGTTAATGAATATGAATATATCTTAAAAAAATTATTTTGTTAGGTACTTTTATTTTGATTATACCGACAAAGGGGATCTCTTACAGTATTACCTTGAGACACATTTGTTAATTCATAGGGCTCTTGCATTGGATTTGTGGTGATTTCAGATGTAAAATCGATATCGTCTTCGTTCGATAAATTATGCAGAACAGCAGGCTCTAATAAGGTGCCAAATCTTTCTGATTCCTCCATTATCTTTGTATGGGCTAATAAGAAATTGGTTACAGGGATATGCCGAATCACCTAGTAAATAATAATCTAAAATAAAATATTTATTTTTGTGTACATTAAAGTGTATGAGAATATTACCTCCGCAGTACGCAAACAACTTTCTCCCAATAGGCGAGTTTCTGAAAACCTAGGTGTCGAAGAATGAGGCAGGATACCCAACAAATATGTTAATAAATTTATTTTCTTCGTTACATATACCTTGAAAGTTACAACCACTTCCTATCTATATAATCGTCCTTTACAGAGCTAGAAGGGTCAATAACTATATACGTGCCGTCAATACAACCTGCGAAAAAAAAAATAAATGCATTTTTCTAACCAATCGAATATGTGGTACTACCTATTGCGTTTAAAAAAAAGCATTTGTTGTCAAAAAATGGTACGGACTTTATTTTTTCCTCCTTAGTAGACCATTTATCATTTCCGGGCTCATCGAACTCAATAAAAACGATATCCTTGATATGATTGCTCCTACCGTAAAAAGAGAAAGATCGAATTGGTATGCAATGTATCTATAACTGCACGCCTCGTGACCAGCAAACCACAAAAAACGAGGATATTCGCCTCTTCTGAGAATTTCTTGTCTGGGCGCATTGTATTATACGCCTCCCAGTTAAATAACGTTGGACATAGGCTTTTGAATAGGCTTTTTGATACACGAAAATGTCTTCTAAACCGTTTCTCCGTGTATGTTGGCACAATACGTTCAATGTATTCTTTGACCTATTTATTTTGTTTTTCTTTGTAATATGCAGAACATCATGGAAAAGTTCGTCTCCTCTTATCGATTTTTTCGTGATAAAAGACATTATTTTCATCATAAAAATATCGTAACAACTTTAGCAATTGTTCCTTAACATCCAAATCCATATTTGGGCTTAATAATTTACATCCACTGCCTCCAGAGACAAAATGATTTTCTTCGTGCATTTGTCTAAAAATGTCGGAAATAGTCTTTTATTTTCTTATTACATATTAAGAGTTTGTGCCGGCGTTAAGTACGGACGCGTTTTATTTTTCGTTGCTAATGAAAGTAAAGCAAAATAAATAATATAAAAGCAAACTGTACGCTATTAAATAAACTCAGAAAATAATATCTAAAAAAACCTGCTAAAAAATCCTTTTTATTAAGAATTTTTGCAAAATAGTTTTTTTCTACTTTATACTCTTTTTCCCCAAGCACATAAATCGGTTTGTTATAGTGTTAACAACAACAAGTGTATGTCACTCTCTCATACGGAAGAGAGAAACGCCGAGAGTTTTTCATGACAAAAATTTGCCAGGTGAGACTACTCCCAACGAAACAAGAGAATTGTCATATAAACAAAACAATGTAAATACGCCCAAAATAAATTCTATAAAGGTGCTATCACACGATGCGATTCCACATCAAGAAACTATCGCTTCAAATAAGCATGCGTCTCTTGAAAAAAACAAGAAGCAAAACAAAGATCCTCCAGGCATGGACCGATATGTCTTAGTAACAAAGCGAAAGGCTAGTTCTAGAACTCCAACCAAGGAACCAAAAGCTAAAACCCAAAAGTCTGTAAACAATGACCGCAACAACAGATTCTCAATTCTCGGCTCGAATAACGAGACTGATGAAATGCACCATGGTACATAAGGAACGCAAACATCCACAAGGACCTAAATATACTTACTGTTGAAGAAGAAATAAAGAAGCTTTGCCGAAAGTACTTAAACAAACTATTCGAGCACCCAAATAACTTGGCCCGCCAACTCCTACTATTCGGAGGACACGATAGACTGTGCATATGTGACACTCTTTCTATCATATAGTTTATTTTTTTGTCTTACTCTCCCATTATTATCAGCTCTTGTCTGGCCAATTGAACGTCGCCCACTGTTATACTTCTATAGGTAGTAGCATGCTAAATTGGAAGCTGCTTCTGTGCAGAAATCGATAAGACTATTACTGTAGTCCGCGGCATGATTAGATGTAACTGTATCTAAACAAAGCAACATTATATCCGTAAGACTATTTCTGTAGTCCGCGATTCACTTAGATATAACTGTATCTAAACTAATCTTAACTACCTACTCAATTAATTCACGGATATAACTGTATCCACAAGCCCACAAAATAACACACATCTATATCATAAAAAAGTTAAGTTAGTTCTCCTATAAAAATAGGTAAAATAATTTTTTAAGTTAAACGTTTTTATATTAAACATAAATTCCAATGTTTAAGGTAAGTGTACTAAAAACCAAAAAATAATAAAATAGATACATTCGTGGGAATTATAAACAGATGCATAGACTAGACTAAAATAAAACCGTGGGGCACGTCAGTTGTGGACAATCGTTGATTAAAATGTTTGTTTTGTAATGTTACACTATAATTAATTATGTTTTGTCGTTTAAGGTGAAACGATTCCTCGCCAGCCAGCAGTGTGAAGGATAAACTTGTCCAACGATAAACTAGTTGATAGATCTCTGTTATTTACATGGAGTGTATAACTATTGGAATTTCCATGAGCAAGAAAATAGAAAATAATTTCCTCACCATCTGCGGACCAACTGCCTAACGATGAATTAAACGGTAGTTCTACCGCTCATTAAGTCCTTTAAAACCGTTTAACTTAAAAAGTTATTTTACCTATTTTTGTTTTCTAGCTTTTAGTTTTTATTTCGCATTCTGTTTAATTCATTTAGTGCTTCATTATTGCAAGGTTTCTTTATTGCAGTCCAACTCCTCTATACGTAGTCCCTGCAAAGATCTTACTCTTCTAAAAGCCACGTAGGCTTGACCTTCTTAAAACAGTTTCACATCTAAGTATACGACTGCGTGATCCACAGTGCTGCCCTGCATTTTCTGTATTGTAGAAGCCCGTAATTGTACTTGGCTGGAAACTGTATGGCTTTCGGGTGTATAATATGTACTCCTTATCTTGCGAACTCAATTCGGATGGAAGGTACATCTGGCGTATACCCTTAACACTTCGTTATTGCAAACTCATCACTCGTGTCTTGAACAAGTCTTCCCATTAAAATACTAAAATGTTGAATTGTTAGCTCACCGACTCTCAAAGCATTCAAAATATCAATAAATGTCTGGTCACCTTGCTGAAGCGTATTTTCAGTTAATTCAAACAGCGTAAATAAACGCAAGAGATGTGCAGCTGGTTGGAGATGTTCTGGTTGTTGTCAATAAGTATTATTTTTTTTTCTCTAGACACAAGTACACCTTCTGTCCAAAAAGATCTATTAAACATCATATCAAACAGTTAATGGAGCATGATTGTTTTGCACGATGATATATCTCGTAGAAAATTAAATTTAATAATTCTGCAATCATTATCACTTTACATTATTTATACAAAGACTTTACCAGAACGAGGACCTTTATTAATAATTTTTGGTAGTGTTCTTCAAACATAAAAAGACCTTAAAATACCCGAATTTGGCGAAATCAAATGGAAACCTAAAATTTTGCACACATGTGTATTTTGCCACCAAGCAAGTTAAGTTCTTAAATAGACCATGTACCTCCCAATATTCGGTATTCTGATGATTTCAGCTATATTTGTTTTAGCGGAATAATTTCTAATTTCTTATTTTATGTTCGTAATAGGTACTAGAAACTATGACAAAAAATCGCGTATGCGATATCTATCGATTCCTCCCGATATTCGGTATTTTGATGATTTTCGCGATCTTATTAACCGGAATTGTTGTTCGTAATAGGTACTATGACAAAAAAGTGTCCACGGAGATTCATGTCTACGTATAGCCCCCACATAACGGTACCTCCCAATATTCGGTATTTTGATTATTTTAGCGCCCTTTTTACCAGAATTGTTTCAAATTTTGTTTTTAAAGTTAATAATGGTTACTACAGCCTATAATATCTCCCATACAACGATACCTCCCGATATTCGGTATTTTGATGATTTTAGCCCCCATATAGGGGGTTTAATTTTAGAGATATATTTCTACGAATTTTTTTAATTTTCAAGTTCCTTGAAAATTATGGAGGGTATTTAAAGTTCGGTCCGGCCGAACTTAGCAGCTTTTTTACTTGTTTATGATTTACACTTCCTCCAAATACTAAACTATGTAGGAAGATTTGACTTAGAATGGGAACATGTTAAATAGCAGTAACCCCTAAACACATAATAATTTTGAGTGGAGTGTTTCTTTTATTGACAATTTCAGACTTAAAATCTAAAAAAGAACAGTGGACGAGAATTTTTCCCGAAAACAAAAGACGAAATAAATTCACCTATCCAATTAGGACATACTTAAGTATTTTTGTTTTCATTTTTGGCTACTTTGATTGAAATATTTTCTTGATATATAATGGAAATAGAGATTTCTATTCTTTGGTGACTCATAGTGAAATTTGATTAAGAATAATTTTGTCTTTGACGTCATCCTTCCAAAATTATACTTTGTAGGAGAATTGAATTTTATATAAACTAATAGAAGTATGGCTTTAACCCTCAAATGATTTTTATACCCTACACCACAAGGTGGTCAGGGTATTATGTCTTTATGCATTTGTTTGTAACAGGAAAAACGAAAAGGAGATAGACCCAAAAATTTAGATATAGCTCCCATATATATCTCCGCCCGATTTGCCTTTTATTGTGCACCAAACGTGTAATATCAGCCCAAATAGTATGGATTTTTGCACATACAACCAAATTAGGGCTGACAATAAGTATGCCAAATTTGATCGAAATCGGTTCAGATATAGCTATAGCTCCTAAATATTGTTCATCCGATCCGAAATATATTGTTCATCCGATTTGTTATTTTTGTCCTCCGCAGCCGTAATATGCTCTGCTAAATTTTATCGAGATCGGTTCAGATTTGGATATAGCTCCCATATATAACTTCGTCCGATTTACCTTTTATTGTGCACCAAACGTCTAATACTTGTCCAAATGGGATGGAATTTGGCACTTACGATCGAATTGAGTCTAGAAGCTAGTATGTCAAATTTGGTGAAGATCGGTTCAGATATAGCTATAGCTCTCATATATACTTTTCATCCGATTTGTTATATTTGTAACCCACAGCAGTAATATACACTTCGAAACAAAGATATTCAGGGAAATATATCAAATACAGCTCAGAAATATATTTGCTAAATTGTATAGAGATCGGTTCCAATTTGGATATAGCTCCCATATTATAGCTTTATCCGATTTCAAATTAATTGAGCACCAAATGGGCAATACAAGTCCGAATTTAAAAGATACAAATGCTTCGACATATTTAGTCCCTTGAACTTTAAACTATAATTGTAATCATAGCGTGTATGATTGAATTATCCCATAAAAACTTTTAATTGTTATGCGGAGCTCTACTAAATTAGTAAAGTGGTGTAGGGTATCATTAAAAGAATAATTTTGTCCTTGACGTCATCCTTCCTAAATTATACTTTGTAGAAGAATTGAAATATAAGCTAATAAGAAGTACGGTTTTAACCCTCAAATGTGTTTTTAATATATAAAAATTCCTGCAGTTCAGGTAAGATTTTGACTATCATGGCAAATAGGAGAAGAATTTTATGATAAATAATTTTGTTGAATATTTTGCCTTTCTACGTGAAATAGGAGTTATTAAGCTTATTTAAAAAAGGGCAAAAAGCCCCCTTTAGTGGCTCGCTTGATGGTTAAACATTTCCACCAAAATAATACTCGTACTGTTATCAGTAATATTGCCGAAATGTTAGAATACCAGGCACTCTTAATCCGAAAATTGCGAACAAAAAATTGTTGAATAAGGGCGAAGTTGCCCCTAATTTGCGATGCAAACTTTCAAAACGCCAATACATGCGTTTTCTATTTCTACTCCACTTTCATAATATGCTGAATGTTTCCAGTAATTATCGAAATTTTTTTTTTATTTTAAAATCCCTAAGCGCGTTGGGAACTAAAAAGGGGGGGAAAAGGGGAGGGGATAATTGGATTATCGAAATTTGTCTCGCAGTGTAATCAGTAATTTGTGAAAAAATGTGAAATAATCGAAACCAATTGTTGCATACTTAAATGGTCTATTAGATAGATTGGAGTTTTCCCTATTTTCTTCGATATTAAAGTACCTTTCTAATTGTGCCAAGCTGTCAATTAATTTGTAGGCTAAAATGAAAATTTCCCTTTTCAATTCCATATTCGAAAATAATTCGAAATTTTCTACATCTTATTGGAAACATTTCGCCCAATAAATTTTAACAACTCTCCAAACAGATTTCACATTTAATTTGGTCCCTTTTATTGGATTTTTGCGTAGACATTTAATATCCAGTTATAATTCTTATTAGATATCGAGGAACAGACATCAAATTTCAAGACAAACACAAAATGATCATTCTATAACGACATCTATTGTAAATCGTTGACACTGTATACAGATGGACTCTGCTGACAAAAGCAAGCACTATTACACTACAGCACCACCTTGTGATATGAAATGGTACTGACACTAAAATGAATGCCAAGACGGAGCTAACAACTGCGAATGATGGTCAAAAATGGAAAGGAAGACGCGAATCAATTCGATAACACAAAAGAGAACGTGGGAACAAAAGAGGAATACACAACTATTAAATTTTCTAACGGTTCAAAAATGACTGGCACAAAATATTTATTTGATGTCTCAAAATTTAAATGCAAATTTTATTTTACAATATTAATTCTCTGAAAATAAAATAAAAATAACTTACAATACACATTTTCTCTGTCATAATATTTCCAATAAACTTTGCTCTTATTTTGTTTTCATTTATGTAATTCCCTTTGTTGTTTACTTCGCAGTCAGAAAACATTCTTCCTTTTGTCCTGTTTTCTTTGTTTTCATTTATGCTTCTTATCATAGTTTTTGTCCCCTTTAACAGAATATGTTAAAAGCAATAACAAATAACATACAGAGAAAGCCAATTTCTCAATTCTCACACAAAATTCTCTCATCCTCTCTGCAAAATGTTCTCAATAGGGATAAGTAGATCGACTATCGACTGCCCATGTTAACTTTTCCCATATAGAAAGATGTAGGCACCAACATTTCCAAAGTTGTTAAATGTTCGTGCACACGAGAGGATGTGAAAAACAGCCTGCCGCGCGCGGAATATAGTGAAAGAAGAAAAAAGAAGCAATCATCATTATTTCCATTTGAAATTAAAAGAAATAAATTGTTCAAGAAGAAAAGAGAGTCTCTTTTGTGTGAAAATAATTCAACAGAGAGTGTGTGTGTGTTTCTGAGTGCAATACTTAAATTTACAAAATATAAATAAATAAATTTTTAAGTGGTGTTTATTATTTCCTACTGTGTTTTTTGTTAATATATCCTGCCGCTGCTGTTTTTGTTGCAGTTTGAGACGACGACATACAAAAAGGAATACAGAAATATTTGGTCATCATTTCATTTCAAAGGAAGGCAAAGGAATACGGTAATAAATAGTGGTTTAAAGAAAGAAAATCGTATTTTTTGTTTAATACTTCGAAGCAATTGTTTAATATTTCGGAACAACAATCAAATTAAATTAAAAGTTTACAGAAATTAAGTTAATATAGACAATTTTGTCGATAGGAAGTGAAAGATTATTGAGAGGAAGGTGAGAAGGAGAGGGACAGCTGCTTAGATGAATACAAAAGTGCAATAACACTACAATTGTTCTTATTATTGTTGTTGTTACCGTTTCGTTGATTGATGTGATAATGTTCGAATTTATTTAAGTTTTCACAAAGAAAATATGAGAATCTGTAAAAAAAATACAATCTTATGCAGAAAAAGAAATCAATGTGGGAAAAGAAGGAGAAATCCAAGAAACCAACGAACGATTGAACATCTTGTCTTTAACCTGAAGAAAAGCAACAACAACAACTGCAAGTACCGAAATGCAATCAAAGTGCAAACAATGAAAAAAAAAAATAATAAAAAAGAAAACAATAACAACAAGCCAGCAAATTTCTTTGGCAAGAGAGTTGAGTGTGTAGAGAATTGAGCCCGACAGAGAGCGAGAGAGTTGGAAGTGAGTGAGTGTACTTTTTTCCACGGCTGTGAATGAATAGTTTCATGCATGCAAAAAGACTGACGCGCGGAGTTCAAAAAACAAAGTTAATGAAGGGAAGGAAGGACGAGGAAATATGGGTTGGATGGAAAAGAAAAACACACAGCAACCCAAACGGCTATTGTACAATTTTCCCACTAACTGACTGACTGACGGACAGCACCAGCAAATGGTGTGTGTGTGGAGTGACTGACATCGTTGTTGCAACCGTTCGTTGTTTGAAAGATTCATTGTTGATTATGATGCGGTTGCAAAAACTATGATGTTGTTGTGAAAATTAACTGTGAAATTGTGGAAAACCCAACAACAACGCCAGCAATTGCAACCAAACTGCATTGGTAATCATTATCACAACTACACTAATAATAAAAAAAACTACATGCATGCAAGACGAAACAAAAACAGCTACACGAAAGTCAAAACTACCAGAGCCAGGAGGTGGCGGAGTAGAAGACGAAGAAAAAGTGCATTGTAATATAAATCGAGTTCACAACCAAGTTCAAAAATACATAAAAAAGAAAGATAGAAAGACAAAAATAAAAGGAAAACATTCACATACACCGTTTACACATTCTTCAAGCGCTGTACACTGTAGTCCAAAACTCTGCGCACATTGGTATTTGCTAATTTTTATTTATTGATGCTAATCTGAAGTGTTTATTGATTCGGCAAGGTCCCATCTGGGAGGTGAAATGCAACACAAATTAACAAATATTCACAATTTCCAGAGATATTTTTATAATATCTACGGCAATGGCGGTGTATCTACGGTAATGTTTATGGCTATGGCGTTATGGTATCTCACAAATAGTCAATTGCATTATACCCATAAAGCCATGTTTATGTGGATATATTTTAAGTATAAGTATTGGACATGACCATTTTTATTCAAATCCAGTGGGTTAGCCCAATTACAGGGTGAGATAAAACAACTGCAACAATGAAATCGTCACACGAATGTTGCTCTGTGGTATTTTGGCCCATACCCGGCGAGGGCTTGCTTGAGGTCATCGACACTTTGGTATTTTTCAGTGCCGACCTTGCTTTCCAAAATATTCCAGACACAATAGTCCAACGGATTGGTATCCGGAGATTTTGGTGGCCATTGTGCGCAGGAAATGAAGCGAGGAACCTCATTTTGTAACAATTCTTGGGTGGCGCGTGAGTGCGATGTTTGTGTGCCCAAGGCTTTCATACACCCTCCAGAATATTTTCGCGATAATATACGGCATTTATTCTGATGCCGCGGTCGGTCGATTACCATGGCCGGCACTTGAGTTCTGGTTGTCAACCGAAGGTGCACATTTTCAGCTGACCTCTTTGGCAAGTAAACACGATCATTCTGTTTGTTTACAAACTGCTGGACAACGAATGTTTTCTCATCGGAGAAAACCAAATTCGGCAGTTCACCACTTTCGGCCAAGCGAAGCAGCTCCTTAGCTCTTTTGAGTCTATTTTCTTTCTGTTGCGGTGTAAGTTCTTGCAGTTTTTGGAATTTGAATGGGTTTACCCCGAGCTCATTATTCAATATTTGCCGAATGAGATATTGCGAAATGTTCAGCTCACTAGCCATTTTTCAGCCACTGCGACGCGGGTTTCGATCAAGTCGCTTCTTTACTGTTTTCTTCCGTCCACTTCCTTGACTTCGGCCTACGCTACCAGTATCACGGTAACGAGCGATGGTACGAGACACAAAAGATTTATTCACATTTAAATGCTGGAGTTCTCTAACGATAGCCGCTTGTGGTTTTCCAGCCAAATATAAAGAAATCACACTACCACGCTTGAATAACTTTTTTTCTGGAAAATTCTCACCAAAATGCTTTTGTACGTTTGCAAACAATACAATAAGCTGTCACTGGAATATTTTTTACAGAGATGACGAGTGGTGTAAAAATGACAGCAGTCTGAAGTTGGTTGCAGTTTTTCCATCTAACCCTGTATGACTGTGGTGGTGCATTTAACGGCACAATTGCAGAAGGTAGAACAAAGCTACCTCCTAAATACAAAATTTTCTTTTGGTGCCCCTATTATGTTAAAACATGTATAAAGTTTTTGTTTTGAATAAAAAAATAAAATAACTTGAAATTGAATTGCAACAGAAATTCATATTTTCGACGTTGTACAATTTTGGGATAAAACGGTATAGTCCTACTATCTTAGATTAAATTTTTTGAAATAACCTCAACATTCCATTAGTTTTGTTTTGGTTTGTTGTTTTCCCCATTATAAGAATTCTGTATATTTAAAAATCTATTTGACACTGTAAAACTCCCTTACAGAGTTGAATTTCTTTCCTATTGAGCGCCATTTTTGATTGGGACAGGGTGCATTCGTACTCCACTCCATATTTAAAGACCATTTTCTTTCATAAATTAAACCTAAATTATGTCATGATGTAAATTTCGTTACGTCCATTATCTGCAGCACAAAAATCTCACCAATTAGTATTATTGTTATTACAAAAATTTTTGGGCCCGGTCCAAGGAATGAGGGTTTCAAAGACATATAGCCCTGCCCAGCAAAAAAAAAAAAACAGCCACAATTTCACTCCTAATCCTATTAAATGGTGACTTTGTTTTACCTTTTTCATATTCCAAATATATTTAGCTAGAAAATACTGCAAGATTAATTTCACTTGCCACTGTTGGTTTCTTGCTCATTCCAGAGTAATGAATACATTCTAAACATGAAACTGAAAACTAAGTGCATCGCCACACATCACACACTCGTATAACACCCGAATGGGGGGAAAACATTAAAGCAGATAAATTAACAACTTCAAAACTAAGTATAAAGTATGTTTGAATGTGTGGCGGTGGTCGGGTGTGTGTGTTTTAAGTAGATGTAAGCATAATTCATGTTATGTTGCATGTTTTACTTGCCATTTTCCACATACACACACATAATTTCTTTTTTTATATGGACTTGATGATGCGATATCATGTCGCTCCTTTATTCTTGTCCATCATATTTCCTGCCAACACTCCTCACTCTTTTACACAAATGTACATACCAGCCAATCCCTATTTTTGTTTGTTAAAAGTCCTGAAAAGAATTTTCCATTTCCACCCCTTTGAGAATTTGTCATAGAGGGATAATTTGTACAAAAAAATGTCGTATGCACTTTTCCATTATTTTCTATCTATCTGCCTCTAGAGACAATTTTTCTTTTAAGTACTGGGGAAGTTTTCATTCAGCCATCAAATGCATTTGCTATTTGTGTTCACAGGGTGAGAAGGTAGGAATTGCTCTATGTCAACATTTAGAATATTTTACATTTTACTTTGACAAAAGTCAACTTGTCACATTTCTACTTTGTTGTGTCCCAAGGCATTGCCTCATGCTTAAATTGTGGTCTCGTGTTGTTGCCATGTGTTATGTAAATCCTTATCGCCGATCATCGGAATCATCTCCATGGCTTAATTAAGATCAATTTAAGGGGTTATTTTTCTTCAATTTAAAATTCTTCAACATGAAATGCCTGCAGCAAAGTTGACTTTCATTGTTTAGTTTTTTTGTTCGGTTTATTTTTTTATGATATGACAACAGCTGTCTCGGTTTTGTAGTTTATGGAAGAGACATTCATCCCTTAGGAGGTAGAAGCGAACAACAATTGTGAATTGGGTATCCATGGCCAAGTATATAAAATATTTCTCTAAAACACTTTTTCCTTTGCCATTCTTGTAAAATTACTTATGTTTTTAATTTTTGTATGCCGCAGAAAAACATATGGGCATTTTATTGATATGGGTTGTTCCACTACGATGGACGCGTATTCTAAAATAAAAATTGGAAATTTAAATAAATTATTTTTATATTAAAAATTGTGTGTGTATAATTGATCTTCAATATACAATTTGGATATTCCTTTTTTCTTTAAATTGTTTTTCTCTAAATTGAAGAGGTTATATAGTTTGTCTTTCCATTATATCGTAGAGATATTTTAATAGAAGCATGAAATATAACAAAAAAGTAAAAGGAATTTCTTTTCCTCAATTGCAACTTAGAATAAATATCTTCAAACGTTTTCGATTGTCCACCATTTCTTTATTAAAATTATCAAATTCTTTTTTTTTCCAAAATATAAATTCATGTAACTGTTTGATAAGATAAGGAATATACATACGCATACTTGTATGCGTGTCGTATAGGACGTTACTGTACTAAAGATAAATAATATGTTGGGAATTATAGAATTGTAATGTATGAGGGGCCTAGCTTTTTTTGATTAGATTATCTGTCCTATATAAGAGGTTAAATGTTGTACTAAAAGAGAGCATAAAACATATGATGAATAATGATATGGTCGGTTATCTACCTACACAAATATTTCCAAAAGAATGTGACTGATATATAATAATCCGATAACAAAATAT